TCAATGTTTTGCCACAAGTATATATCTTATTTTCTATTCTCTCTATATTTTAAGTGCTTATATGGGTAAACCTTGAATTGCTGTCTTTTAGGTCACTCCTTCTACTGATGAAGATTGATTTGAAGTGTTTATATGGGTAAACCTTGAATTGCTGTCTTTTAGGTCACTCCTTCTACTGATGAAGATTGATTTGAATTGTTATCCTGTCTACCAAACTATCTATGGTCTATGCTGAAACTGTAAAGCCTTTAAGCTTGATGGACCATTCTCCACATTTTAATCTATGCCATTGGTGGACACAGTGAACAGAATCTGGACAGACCACAACTGGGAGACTGCACTTACTACCTCTTGCCAATTGCAGAACAATCTATTAAAAAGTAATTTCTAGGTATGAATTTTCAATTGATTCTCAATCTATCCAATAATTATTTCAGATTAATGTATTATATATTTAATCAATTACATTTATTGTGCCAATTACTGTCAGTTGTCTCAGAAGATGCTATTTCTTGAAAAATCCATGGTAACTGCCCACTGCATATTTTATTAATTTTCTGTCTGGTATAATTGTTGAAGAAATTAATGGGAGAATAATAACAATGATAGTGTGCTTGTTTTGCACGTGTAAAACCCTAAGAAATAACTGGAAAAGACTACTCTAAGACTTTATATAGCCTTTGCCAGGCAGAGTACCTAATGTTAGGTTAAATAGGCATAGTTTGATCTGCATAAGGCAGTCTTCTACAAGTAGTCCTCATTTAGCAACCACAATTGGGACCAGCAACTCAGTCATTAAGTGAAGTGGTCACTAAGTGAAACATCGTGATTTTATTATCTTACTTCAGCTTTCCTTTGCATAACAGACCTGCAAAGGTCATAAATGCGAGAATTGGTTGTAAAGTTACTTTTTCATCACCATTGTAACTGCAAGCGGTCGCTAAATGAGGTTTACCTGCACATCCTTTTAACCAACAGTGGGAACTTCTCATTTGATTATTCTCTACATTGCAGCCTAGATATGTTATTTTGACATTGTTGCTGCTAAAAAAAACAAAAATTAACAATATGAAAGGGTTAGCCAATTCACAAATTCTGGAGTGGTAATTGGGTTCTAATTATCTATCAGATTCTTTCTGTTGATTCAAAAAATGAAAGTGACACAAAATCTGGTTAGAAGGCACTGAAAGAGCTTAAAAAAAGAGGTTTCTCTCTTGTTCATTGCTGAAATATTGTGACATGTGCCTGCTTGAAGGAATTACAGGGCCATCTGCTTTATACTCCTCTCCTTGGGACTGGTTTCATGAAAGAAGGCTTAGCTGTAATATTCTTTGATATTTGTTGGTATGAAAATATGCCTACTGGGTAAGAAAACTAGGTTTTGCCTCTCATCTCTCTTGCAGCTTGACTTCATGGTATGTCTAATTTACTACTATTCTTTGCAGTACATTCTGTGATCTTGACAGATAAGTTCATACGAACATTTTCACTCATATATTTGAATAGGTGACAAGAAATAACTAGAGCTGTTTCTCCCATCAATGGCTCCATGGTCAGCCTTTGTAAGAAAGGAACTTTAGTTCTATAGCTTCCTGACCCAACTAAGAATTCTGGCCCATCAACCTAATAATCAGAGTTCCTGATGAACCAGAGCATCCCTGGGTCAATACATATTACATGGATATGAGCTTACTTTTCACACCTCTCCCAAATTGGGGAATGGATGAATTGTGTCAAATGAATGCTATTGTTCATAGAATGTGTGCTTTGGAACGTCATCTTTTTGCTGTATCAAATCAAGCTGATTTGTGGGTTTCTATGTGTGCACGTATATATGTTTTCAAGCTCACCTCTTTACCTGTAGCTTTCAACGTAGACAATTTTGTGAAATATACTGAATCTTTACACTGCTTTATATATTGTCTTGTTAACTGAGCTAAAATCCATTTTTATCCCTCCAGTTAAAAATGTTCTAGTTAAGGATCTGGACTTATATTGAGAAAATGGAACATTTTATACTTCAGGAATATCTGTTCAGTTTTTCACCATTGTACTCTGTTGAACAATTTGTGTGGGTGGGTTAGACAAAGAGCATGTGGACTCATGAATCCCTTTAATATGCAAACATTAAAAAATACTATAAATAGATAAAATATTTTATGAGAATTTTCCCGTTGGAGCATACTATACATGTCAAGATCTACTCTTTTTCAGTTTTACCAATACTTGTAAGTTCCACCACTTTTCTACATCAGCCAATTAAAATGGCAAGAAAATTTATTGTTTCCATATACAAATTTCCCCATATATGTATTTTATACTCAATTTTCCTTAACCTGCACATTTCTGAAATAAGAATATCTTTGCAAAATAGAAAGAAATGTAGAATTCAAAGGATATACTATAGTCTTCAAGTATATGAACCAAACAAAATTTCCTGATGTTCTTCATTTCTATATATATTGGTAGCTTTAATTGCTATGAGGTTTTTAATTGGTTGTTATTAATGGAATGTTTCTAATCATCACTGTTAGACACCTAGAATATCTTTTGATGGAAAGGCAGTGGATGGATCTTTATATGGAAGAAATTTTTAAAAATGCAAATATTTCCTACACATGGAACAAATGGAGGCAAAAACTAGCAGCAGCAGAATATTATTTTTTAAAATATCAATGCCCTTCAAGTCACTCCCTCCCAGCAGGATATTTGATATATAAAAACTATTCCGTTCAGTTCTATGGCTATCTGGGAAAAAATGGTGCTGTAAATCACAGACATACAAAAATATTCAAAAGGAAAAATATAATTAGTAAAATGTTAATATAAGGCCTATATGCTCTTCTCTACTTCCCTTAGCTCAAGGGCAGATAGATCTTTTTTTAAATCATGGTAAATGGTAAATCATTTGGAGCCTTTTCTGTACAATCACTTGACTTTAAGCTAGGTTTAATTTTCTTAGCTGTTTTTTCCTAACATTCACACCCCACCCCCCGCCCCGTGCTGTTGCAAAAGATCCTGTTGCATCAAAGCCATCTGTCAGCTACTAAACAAAGTCCTGGTTTGCACTGCACAAGCATTTGATAAGCTACTATTGTAATAGTGGGAGAAAAAAAAAATCTGGGCTTAGCACCTGCATGCGATTGGCCCATCCAATATCAGCAGAACTAGAAGACTGCTCAAAATATGATCTTGGCTACTCGTGACTTTAGTCTAATAGGCTTGGTTTGACTAGTATGGGTTGAGAAGGGAAAACTATAGATAGAGCTTGGGATGACAATCCATTTTTAAAATTGCTAAGTAATAAATTTAGATACAGTTACGTATTGGCAAACTTTGTTCAAGGTGGAACCTTGAAGAAGGGGGTTGAGGTTTCTGAATAATGGCCATTGTTAATAATAAGTGATTCTTACTGATTATTCGCCTTTTTGCTTTGTATTTTTTTTATTTGTTTGGGTCTTGTTTTGAATACTTTGCTCTGTCTCTCTCTTTCTCTCTCTCTCTCTTCCTAGTTGTAAGCTGCCAAGAGTCATTTGGGAGTCAGGTGGCCTATAAATTAAATTAAATTAAATTAATAATGTATTAAATTAAATAAAACAAACCAACATACACATTCTCCCAACAATAATGTCAGAACAGGTTTGAAATATATTGTTTAACAGATGAGAAATGAACAGAACCTTTTATGGAAGCTGTTGGAGAGAAAATAGGGGAGGGAAGCATTATGGAGAATAATGTTAAGATGCTTGTGAAGTTATTCATGGTGCTTTGTTACAATTGTGCTTTAAAAGGAACTTAGAACATGCTTCAGAACATTTTAGGATGCTTTTGCTCGTGAATATAGCTTTGCTTGTAAATTAATCTATGCTAACTGCTCAACAGCTCAATGTTTCTT